ACTAAAATTTCTCAAAAGAATAGACAAACAAAAACAAATTCTATGAACCTGTGGAATTCTAGAATGGCAACTATACTGAGGTAATTTATAGATGGAAGTAAACAAACGCCTTTTACTGTCCCATATTAATACATATCCAATATGTTTCACAGAAAAGGAATCTATTCATGAGCTTTGTCCTATTCAAAGGCTTTCAACAGAGGTAACCAATCTTTCTGCTAAATGGCAGACCTTAAATAAAACTCTGCTAATTTTTCTGTATCAGTGTCTTCAGTATTTTCAACTTAACTTTAAAAAAAATCTTATAAACATTTTAGGCTCTTGTATAAACTGTAGAAATACTATACTTAATAATATTCCATTGTAAATGTATTCAATTTACAGTGTAGCACCAGAAAGCCAGTATGTGTTACTTTTTGTTAAAAAGACACAATGATTACAATGTATTGTACTTGGAGAGTGATACAGTATGGTATTGCCACTGTGTTCTAGAAGACTGTTGCCTCAATTGAAATAACCAAGAGAAATAAATTGATAATCTATACAGAGTTAGGATTATGATTTTACAAGTGGATAACAGTGTTCTAAATAACAAATGAACTTAAATCTCTATACCTAAGTAAGCCCACAAAGATTCCAAGTTCCTTAAGACATGCTTATGACTTGAAAGATTCCAGTCAAGCCCCTTTCCCCTCTACTTTCTCTAATACTTTGGGATACAGTTTATAGTTGGTGCTTAGCAACTGCTGCTGAGTGACAACCATGATTGTTTTTTCATTTCTTTTGGCCCCTTTCAATCTGTTTAATAAATATGTCATTAGTAAAGCAAATTTAAGGCTGCCAATCCCATCTCCCGTGCTCTATTCCTGTGTCTATGGAGCTTAAAATACTAGAATAGTTCAGCAAACCTAGCAATGCCTGTCTCTACTACTCTCTTGAATATGGACCAAGAGTTCCATTCAAAGAGGGCTCCTGCCAGTGACATGGACTGTGCCACATTCTGTATAGATTTCTGCACCTCTGAGTTTCTCTCATCAACATCTCTCCATGTATATCCCGCTAGTCTCTCTCACATTTCAGATTTAAGTTTAAAAAGCACACCTCAAGAAAATCATGGATGAGGTCCACTATTTTAAAATTCCACACATTTTATAGCCATTTAAAAACTGTGTCCCTATTTTTAAATTCACACACACACACACACACACACACACACACACACACACACGTTTAAGTAGTATGCCTCCTAATAGAATATAGGATGGCTGATGAGGTAGGATCTACTTCTAAGTGTGCTCACTATTACACTGCATAAGCTCTGGCATATGCAAAGCAGTCAATCTATTCTTATATATAAATAGAGATGCATTAAGAAGTATATAAATGGGTATCGTCAAATCTTTGGTTTCAATAAGTTACATAAAAGACCTAACTGAAGTGTTCACTAAAGATATTTACCACGCTGCCATGCCCAATATTATTAAACAATAATGTATCTTTATAGTAATTTAAATAAGAAATTGAAAGAAAATGACATCACAATCTAGTTTGAAATTTTAAAATGTGATCCTAAAATGTATAGAACTTACTTAGATCTGGGGATCACAAATATAATTTAATGTCTTATTGATTATCATTTTATCCTTAATTTTAAGCTTGATGGTCATGAAGTTCTCTAAGTTTTTGAAGCTACTAGGAATCTATCCCTACCCTTAAGTAGAAACTTATTAAATAATAATGGCACTAACGCACTTAGATGACTATGATCCAATGAAAAAGCTATGTGCCTCATAAGCACCCATCATTCAAGAAGGATGACATTGTTAAGTAGTTGAGTTCTGACACTAATGTTCAGAGTCAAAAACATCAATGGTGCATAAAATACCAGTTTCTGGGACCATTTTATATGTATCTTTGTTCTTTGAAAACCATTTTAACACTCCTCCAACCACACACACACACACACACACACATCACACTGCACCACACAAGTAAATTAGAAAGAAAGAAAACTTAGTATATGAGAAGAGACATTAATTGGAAACAAGATTACTATGATTTAATCTAGACTCTGTCACTAGCCTGATCATGAAGCATAACTTTCTGGTGTTTTCTCTCCAACAGAACATAAATATGTAGATAAATCAACAAATTTTTTTAGGCCCAAGTAAATACAGCAAAGATGAAACACAATTCATTCAACAAAACTATCCTGGAAACTCATAGGTACAGATTATCTCAGACATTGTAGATGGGGAGGATAAAACCAGGTTGCTATCACTAGATATTGTTACCATATTTTTAGTCCTTAACTGTTTCAAATAGAAGGCCACTACAATAATAATGAACTTTCTAAACTAAGTATAAAAGGAATTTTAGGGACTAGAGATGCGTTAACTTTGTGTTTAATATTTGCTTAGCTGCAATCTTTCCAGAACATGTTCTGTAATGCATATTTATTTATTTTGTTTTTAAATTGGGTTTATAAAGAATGTGGTAATCAGTGTAAATACTGAATGGAGACAGAGCTTTATTTACATTTCATCTGAATAGAAATCATCTCCCCCAGTTGTTGTGCCTGATCGGTGTTGGGAGAGGCATCCACTCCAATTAATTATTCAATAGTCACTTGACACACATGAAACACAGAAAATAAGCAAAGCAAAGCCAATGCTTCTGGGAAGACAGACTATGGCATAATCATTACATCTTCCATTTCTCTAATAATGAAAGGAATTCAACCTTTTGTTTTCCTGTTATCATGAGTGGTGATCTTTGCATTCACTTTCAGCTTAAATTTTTAAAATGAATGAATGTTCAGAACAATGCTGATAGACTGACTTTCTTGGGATGAGTTTTCTTAGGCATCAGATACTATAATACCCCAATATTCCTCTTGTTAATTTCAAATCTTATACCTTACAGAAAGAACTATGCCTTGGCCAAAACAAAATGTATTTTGGAAACATCTAATTCTGTTTCTTTTTAACATTCTTTTTTTCAGGCTTTCTTCAGTCTTCAGTGTTCCTGATTATGCATGATCCTTGAATCCCTACATTAAAATGCATAGAAATATTTTTAAAATTCATTTAAAACACTCTCCCACACAGTACAAGCTGTCATTGTGTCATGTTTGTTTCTTAATTTAAGAAAGGAAGTTATATTTCATTAAGTTGCCTTCTTTATCATTTAAAGTGGCCTTGGGATGCCTAGAGAAGTATTTTTCCATAAAAGTAATATTTGCCACTCTCTATTAATCAGGACAAATGTATGCAGCTTCAAGTTGTACGACTGAAGTGATCTCATATAGCTATCATAGTCATGATTTACAAGCCAGCTTGATTTGATAGTGTCATTTTTTAAAAACATGAAATCTGATCTTATGTTCATGGAAATTCACCAGCAGAACTCAAAGTGCAATAAGGGACACAGGGTGCAGTCATCTCTAACTCCTTTCCCAAAGTACCTAACACAAACCCATCTAAAAACAAGTGTAGTTAACAAGTTTTGAAAGTCCCATCAGCCATGGAAGCCATAGAGCACTTCTGAATAACATTTTTTTTTCTTTCTAAGTAAGTCTCTTTTCTGTTTAAGCAGTTACAAATTTCATCCTGTCTTTCTTTCTTTTAAGGACAAATGAGAGAGCTGCCAAGTTTAATAAGAATTACAAAGGCTTGTGTATCTCAGCAGTATCAGCCAAAAGTAAAAATAAAGTAAGAAAGAAACAAAATAAAAAAAAATCAAAATGTCAGACACCACACAATAAAACACAGCCACACAAGCGTTTTGTCCTTGTCTTTTCAAATTAGATATAATAATTTACCTTTGTCCCCACTACAACTATAAGTGCACTGGCTGCCTTGATTTGATCTAATAGAATGTACCAAGCTACCCATCCTGCTTAGGCTCTAACACATTCATGTCTCATCCTAGGACAACAATTCACCCACTTTCTGTTTAGATATTTTTCCTCTAGTCATGCAAGAATATTTTCCTTGGTCACTGCCATAATAAATACATACATACATACTGCATACATACATACATACATACATACATACATACATACATACATACATACATAAAATGGAAGAGATACATAGAAAATGGAATTTTAGATGTAAAGGCATGAAGATAACTCTTAGATGTGCTTTGTTTATTTTAAGCCCTTAAGGACCACAGAAACAATTTGACTTCTGCTACGCAGATAGATGTCATCAGCTGACTATCCTTGGAAACTCTCTTACCATGGCTCACATGCATGCTGTTCATTAGCCTGCACAATCTTCCTGATCCAGTGACATCTAAATTGCTCTATTTTGTTACCAAGCATTTGTCAATCAAGGAAAACGTTATCTCATCTCTATCATTCCTCAACGATAGCTGAGATTTCTCACACTTGAAGAAACCAAAAAATCAGAAAATTCATCTTAAATATGGCAAATTTGGGATTGTGATAGAACCATGGAAAACAATATTTTCTAAAATCCTCCCGTTTGTGAAGAAAATCTCTCTTCCACACCAGGATCAGGTCTTGGATTTGCAAAGGCACCCAGGGCCTATGGCCTGTCAAGTGTGCTTTGACCAATAACCACGTGGACAGCCCTACTGCTGCCAAGGGCAGCTTACCCTCCATTTGGTTTTCTCACCAAACACATGTTCAGTCTTCTAGATGGTTGTCAACAACCTCACAGACAATGTCTGGATACTATAGCTACTGATGGTACAGGGCAGTAGAGGGCCATTTAGATGGGCAGTGGCCACAGGACTTACAGGGACCTGTCAACGTTGGTCTGCGGGTTTTTCAGGTAGATCATTCTCTTGGTTCATTAGAAGGAGGTCAGGTGGACACGGCCTCGGGAGATGTGTTCAGAGTGCCCACTAAGAGGCTGCAGAGGGAGGTAGCATGGCGGGGAGGGACAGGCCTTCCCCGGGAGGCCCCATGCAACGGCCTCCCGCCCAGCCCAGTCCGAGGCTCCGCGAGGTCGGGCAGGCCTTACCTTGGCTGCAGTCCTTGCCACGGAAGCCGGTCCTCGAGCAGTCGCACACCGCCTGGTCGTCGACCACGGAGCACACACCCCCGTTGAGGCACACACCGCCCTCGCCCTCGTCGCCCGCCTCGCACGGGCTCCCGCCGCCGCTGTTGGGTGGCTCGTCGTCCAGCTTGACCTCGCCGCCGTCCAGCGGCAGCGCCTGGGATGAGTTGACCCTGACGTCTCGGATCCAGCCCTTGAAGGGCTCGTGCTCGCGCACCGAGGCCAGCGTGAGCTTGAGCGCTGCAGCGCGCAGTTCGGGCGGCAGGCCGCCCACGAAGAGCCCGCTGAACACCGTCATGTCCCTGCGCTTCGACTTGACCTCCACCCACTTGGCCTCGGAGCGGTCGATGTAGAGCGTGGTGTTGCGGAACTGTCTGCGGATGCGCACGCTGTGCCAGACACCGTCGTTGACCGGAGTGTCGGCCAGCAGTGTGGCGGGCTCGGCGCAGAAGATGGAGAAGCTGAGCTGCAGGCGGCCGCCGCGTGTCAGGATGAGCTCGAGGAAGTCGCAGAAGCCCTCGTCGTCGAAGTAGAGCACGAGGCCGCGGGCACTGCGCGTCTTCAGCTGGAAGCTCATCTCACTCTCGCAACATGCGTTCCACTTGGGGAAGCGTGTCCACTGGCCCTCGGCGCCCGGGAACTCCAGGCCGCTGCCTAGCTCTGCCCAGCAACCCAGCAGCAGCAGCGACAGGCAGAGGACGCAGCAGCCCCCGCGCTGGACCAGCGCCGTCCCCATGCTCGGGGCTGGGGTGCGGCGGGGGGGAGCCGGGGGCGACAGGGTCGAAGCGGTCCTGGACACCGTCACGGAGAAACGGGGGTCCACAGAGAAGTGGGAGGGAGGGGGAAGGCGGCAGTAGGAGGGGCACACCCTCCTTCAGCTCTTTTTTTTCTTCTTCTTCTCTTCCAGCAGCCCCTTCCTCTCTCCCAGTAGTCCCCTTCCAACTGGAAAGTGGAGACCCCAGTCCTATGGGATAGCCACAGAACTTCCAGGCCAAAGGGAGGATACACTTTGGAGGCAACGTTCTGAAAAAGACGGCCACCGAGACTCAAGAGAGATCACTGATCCATTTGCATCCTATGATGTTAAGTAAGGGCATCTGTGGCACCAACAGGTACTTCACTCTTCTAGGACCAACACCCTCAATGCACCACAGGTCTGGTGCCAACAATAGGAGAACACAGTCAGAAAAAAACACACTTTTCTCAGAAAGGAACACGAAGCCAACACTGAGCCTGGATCTTTGGCTGCTTGCCAGGTTTCAACATCTGGAGATGTTGGCTCCAAGCACAGAAGGAGAAAGAACAGAGCGAGACACCAGAAGAGCTTCAGAGGCCTACTTCTGTCATATCACAGGCTTCCAGCACCACCAAAGCCAAGGCCAAATTTTCTGTGCATGTCCTCTCAGGCTGATTCACTTTATGTTTACCAGCCCTTTCGGTAGGTTTCAAACCCTGATGTGAAATAGCCAGAAGCTGTTAGATGGTGAAATCAATCCCAACAGTTCTTCTCTTTTCTCTGTCTCTGCAAGACCACCCTAAGATTCCAGCATTTCAATTGGTAGTATGTTGGTGATGCATTTTGATTTTATTTTGTCATTTTATAAGAACCCAGAAATCTGTGGGAAATTAAAATAAAAATTAAGGCCTGTATTCAATTACAGTATCATACAAATCATTACTTGGCTAGGAAAGCAGGTATATAACCAGTGGCTTTATCAAACCAAAGAATTAATCTTGATGGATACAGGTAGGTGTGTGTATGTGTGTGTGTGTGTGTGTGTTGACCCACAGTAAATCTTCATGTTTCTGAGTGTTTATTGCCACACTCTTATAGCAAGCTATTACAACCTTAAGTTTATCATGTCTGTTTATTAGGGACCAGAATTTTAAGAACATTTTGACTATGATTTTCTTCCCAAATGTCCAAGGAATTTTAAATTTCTAAAATGTATGAGGAGAGAAATGGAAAACCTTTTTAAGGGTTTTCTACTTACACTGTATGTTAGTTACATGTACAGATAATGAAACTTATTCAAACCTCAAGTAATAGCATATTTTATAAGAGGCTAAATACATCAAACTTTCAACAGGAGGATACTATCATATATTTGCATGGCATTTCCTACAGCTTTACTTGTCTCCTAGACAACAAGAATTAGTGGTCCCTTGAGGATCTCTTTACATTTTCAAGAAAATATATTCATCATTTTTAATGAAATATACAATCTGTTATTATATAAAAACATCTAACTGGAGACAAATTTTCAGTACTTATGTCCTTACTATTATAATATGAGTCCTTTCAGAAATGTGTATTGAGTCTTCTCTCTAACAGTATAATGATCAGATTCCTCCTCAAATCCTTATCTGGGTGTCAGCCAATAGAATTTGTATGGTCACAACAGTTGGCATGTATGACACCTCAGCTGTTATGGCTCCAGGATGCTAGAATTTAAAGCCATACCTTTGAATCATTCATTCTGCTTTTAAATCACTTCCTTTTATTCAACTCTTATCTGACAGACCTTTGAAAAGGTACAGAAAATATAAATCTTCAAGGCTCGCCTTGAATTTTTAAAACCAAATAACTCACAGTTTGTGGAAAAAATAAAATATATTATTTGGTCATTTCAAGCAAACACGTCACCCTACCATGTCTCAGTATCTCCTATACACACACACGCACACACACACACACACACACTCCAAATTTAAAGCTTGGACACAGAGCTCACTAGCCAATTAACACTTTTTTCCACTATAAGCTGAAACTAGCAGTAATTTATGGCACTGCATTGTGGCTGCTCCTCTGTGGAGAGAGCTGAAACCATTTCTTTTCAGTTCAGAGCAATCCCTACAGGTGTCAGCTTAGAGCCATCAAGCTAGGGAATCCCACTTCAAGTTCCTCCCCAGATGAAATTGATGACTGGTTCTCTTCTTTAAATCCATACACCTCACAGAAATACCACACACAACACAGACACAACACACACATCTCACAGACATAGCACATAGACCTCATAGACATACTCATAGCCTGCTCCTTATCAAATGGGAATAAAAATCTCAGTTATCTATTTATTAATGACTGATATATTCCTCACCATCAGCTACTACAAGTTATATCTTGCTTATTCCTGTGCCAAACCCAAAAATGTGCTTTTAAATATTATCAGGAATCACATATTATTCAGTATACTTTCATGTTTAAGGGGGATGAGAAATATGGTAAATGTTTAGTATTTAGCAAAATAAGTCTGGTCTATCAAAAGAGTAGTGCTTTGAAGCCATTCTCAGTTTACATATCTGAAAATGTCTGTCTGTCTTGGTCTCTGTCTCTGTGTATCTGTGACTCTGTTTTTCTTCTGTCTCTCTCTCTCTCTCTCACTCGCTCTCTATCTCTGTCTCTCTCTGTGTCTCTGTCTCTGTTTCTCTCTCTCCCTCTCTCTCCGTCTCTCTCTGTCTCTCTCTCTCTCTGTCTCTCTCTGTCTCTCTCTCTCTCTCTCTCTCTCTCTCTCTCTCTCTCTCTCTCTCTCTCCCCGTGGTGTGTGTGTGTGTGTGTGTGTGTGTGTGTGTGTGTGTGTGTGTGTATAGAGGGGGGGGATAGAGACAGGCTGGCTAGATGACTATTGGTGCTTATTGTATTAATTTTACATATATCACATAATCTTTTTGCCTATTCTTTTGTGCCCTCCTATAATGCACACCTTGACCATTTTGTAAAGGATAGAGGGAAGAAGGAGAAAACCAAGAAGAAAGCATATATTCTTATCACAAGGGAGGTCAACTGGATCTCCCAGTTCCTAGAGGAAGCTCACTGTATGAGAGACAGCATCTATATCTATATGGAGAAAAGGGATTCTCTCTAGGTGTTCAGAAAGACCCGGTAAGTTCGCAGATTAGAGGATGAAATGAAGGGATCTGAAAAACAACCATACTGCAGCCAAAACACGAAGCGCCCGAATTCAAAAGCTGCCTAACAGCCTCATTAATCTTTTCTTCTGTTTCTAGAACAAAATTCATTCCCAAGTCTCCGGATGGATCAATACCATTTGCTGATCAGCTGCAGTTGCATTTATTTTATCATGTTTTCAGTAAAACACACACACACACACACACACACACACACACACACCTTACCAAGAAACCTTTCAATATATATCTCCATAAAGACTCTAAAATTTATGAGAGATATTTTACAAGTTTTATCTTTTTGCCTCTGGATTTTGCAAAGTATCTCAATACCAATGCACACCCAAAATTCTCCCTGGCTTTCCCGCCCAGTCTCTAAGCACCATCTCTAACACCAGTGCAGTTTCTTGGAGCCTGAAGTCTACTGCACAAATTAAGGGTGGGCACAGGTCTGATGGGGAAAAGAGAAAGAAAGAGATGTAGATACATTTTATTTTATTGTTCTGTTTCCTAATTGCCTTTCCCTTTTCTTTCTTAGAATGATAAATCACTGCATTTAGCCTTTAAGTTACTACCTAGTTCCACCCTCTCATCTTGCCATTTGAAAGGCTACATGCTAAGCAACCAAAATCTCCACTCCTCCACCCTCCTTCCCTCCGTAATTGTGGCAGATCCTGGCCCAGTTACAATAGGGAAAGATACCCTTCTTCCGCTTGCCTCGTCCCATCCCCCCCCCCTCCCCGCCCAAATTGAGCTCCTTTACCTGCTTGGTTATTCCCCTTAGCTCGAGCCAGAGCCTGAAGCACGCATCGGTCAAAGCGAATTTCCTGAGGTCTAAGGATAAGGCGACTGCTGCTGCCTTTTTCCGAGGCGTCAGGCTTGAGCGTCTATCTCCAAGAGTGCGGAAGGGAAGAACATGGAACGGAGGGGAGCAGCAGGGGGAGCAGGATGAATAGGAGGAGGAGGAGGAGGAGAAGGAGGAGGAGGAGGAAGAGGAGGAGGAGAGGGAAAAAGGGAAGGAAGAGGCGGTGGTGAAGCCCGAGAAGGCTGGGTTACGTGACGCCGGGTGCTGTCCTTCTGAAAGAGAAGGGCGGAGCTGAGCTCTCCGCAGTACCATGGAGAGCAGCCGGCCGGTGCTCTGGCTGGGGAAAGGGTGGCCTCAGCTGGCAGCTGCAGCCCCTTCCAAGTTCAGATGCTGAGAAGCAAGGTGCCTCTACCCTGACATCTTCCCCTTGCAGGGGGATTCTTGGGGCGGAGACTTGCCACAAGCACTTCTAACTAGTCACTCGCCACCCTCCCTTCTGAGAGAGAGAGAGAGAGAGAGAGAGAGAGAGAGAGAGAGAGAGAGAGAGAGAAACACCAGAGTCACGTAGCCTACTGAGCATGCCCAGGCCCCTGTTAAAGACCCATGAAAATCTTGTGGAGATTCCACTTCTCCGGGATTTAGCCGTGATTGGGCGAGGGTACCTGAGAAGATGCCAGGAAAGGACCCCGCAGCTAAAGGGAAGGAGAAGAAACCTAGGGGGTGGTGTCAAGAGGAGCTCTGGCTGTGTGTGTGCACCTGCATCTCCTGTTCTAAACCTTTGCAAAACTAGTGGATCTTTGAAGAACGCAGGGGAAGGCGGGACTCAACACCCGCATTGGCTTCCTACAATACTCAGTGTTCCTGCCCCACCCCTAGCTGTAGCCCTGACCTGAGCCATCTGCCTACACTGTGATAAAAGACTTTAGAAAGAGACCCATCAGGCTATTGCACCAAACTATTGCACACACACGAGTGTGTATCTGTTAAGGTGCTTTCCTGACAGCTTCTCTTTCCTCCAG